CCCCTGCCCCACGTCAGGCGCTGGGCACCGTCACTGCCCACGCTGCCAGGGGAGCAGGGCGCCCAGCAAGCACAGCACCCAGCAAGCAGCGCAGGGGTGGGCGCTCCCCCGTGCCGCGGGGCAGGGTGAGGCTCACTGCAGGCTTGCAAGGACGAGGGGAGCCCCCCGGCGCATGCCGTGTGGCACGGGGAAGAGGAGGCTGCCTGGGGCCTGGCACACACGCGATGTAGGGACGGTCCCAGCACACTCAAATGCTTTGCTTCACTCAGGGAGGAAGATGCTGAGCAGGGCCAAGACCCTAGGGACCACTACGAGCGAAGATCGGAATGCCCCAAAACAGGGCAGGGGACTGACACCCCCCAAGGACAAGGCAAAGCCAAGCCTGGCGACCAAGCCCACAGGCTGGTGGCAGGTTCCTGTCTTCCCACGCAGCCCAGTGCGCCCCAGGACACAGCACAGGGCTGCCAGGAGCCGGGATTCGATCAGCTGGAGGGAGGATGTCAGTGCCCATTCGCACTCATGAGACCACATCTCGATCCTGCACCCAGCTGTGGGTCCCCAGCACGAGATGGGCATCAGCTCAGTGGTGCAGCTCAGGGGAGGGCCATCGGACATTTGGGGCTGGAGGAGAGACGGAGGTGCGGGGCTGTGCTGGCTGGGGGGCAAGAGAGCTCCCGGGGGCTGGCAGCAGCTGGCCCGCACCCGCGTGGGGCTGCCAGGGTGGGGAGCCCGGACCCCCAGCCGTGGCACAAAGGGGAACAGGGAATGTGAGCTTCAGGCTGGGTACAAGGAAAACTTTTTCCCCGTGTGGGCTGTTCAGCATTGGAGCAGAGGCCTCGAGGCTGTAGGTTATCCACCCGTGGAGGGTTCAAAAGCCAAGCGGACGAAGCCCTGGGCTGAGCCACAGCTGGCCCTGCTCCAGGCGGAGGGTTGGACCGGGACCCCGCGGGTGCCTGCAGCCCCACAGTGATCACCCCAACAAACCAGCGTGTGGCTCTCGGGGGGCAGCGGGAGGGGGCAGGCTGCGGCTGCACAGCCTTCCCAAAGCGTTGCCCCCCATGCCCCAGGGGAAATACCCGCTCACTGGAGCAGGGCAGGCAACACCAAAGCGGACAAGTAACAGTGCGTGGGACCCGTGGGTGGGGGCTTGGGGGGACCCCACGGGCTGACCCTGTCTAGGTCGCCATCACCAGCGCAGGCACAGCCACGGGAGCCAGTGAGGATGCCTGTTGGGGACACAAAGCTGGCAAGTGCCACCATGAAGGGCTTGGGATGGGCCCAGAGTGTGGGGCGCCTTTGGCACCAGGGCAAGGTCGCGTGCTGAGGGTAGAGCACTGCCGCTGTGCTCAGGCCAGAAGTGCCATGCCATGGCCCGGAAAGGATGGGCTCTGGCTTGCTGCACCCACCGCCAAATCCAGCAGCCGGGCTCAGGGACAGAGGGGAAGGGCAGCCGGGCTTAGGGAAGGAGGGGAAGGGCAGCCGGGCTCTCCCGTGGGACTGGCAGGAAAGCAGCAAGAATGCATTGGGCACAGGGTGCAGACGATCTCCAGCAGACGCAGCACTCATGACAAGACCTGCCACGCCGTGCCCGTCGCACCGGGGCCCAGCACTGCTGAGCAAGTGCTCCTGTGCCGGTGCCAGCCCACCCTGCGGGGAATGGAGGGGCGCGCGGTCTCTCCAGGTTCCCCACTGCTGCTTTCTGCAGAAAGCAGCCCATTTCCACAGCCCTCCCTCCCCATCCGCTAGGAGAGACGGCTCCGCTCCGAGGCCTCCGGGTCCCTGGGGGGGGCGCAGCACGGGACGGCGCAGCCCTCCCCGTACCTCCCGGGGGATCCTGCCCACCACGGGTCTGTGCTGCAGACCCTGACCCCTGTGCCGGGGCTGCTGCCTGGTGTGCGGAATGGGGGCTGCTCTGCCTGGGGCATGGCTGGCCAGGAGAAAGACCGTCTCTCGTGGGGGATGGGGGACCCCGGCACGCACAGGAAGGTCCCACCAGCGTGGGGTTCCTCCTGACTGCCCAGCACAGCCTGGGCCTGCGGTCTGCTCCGCCTGGATCCATTTGCACCAGGATCCGTTCTGACAGCAGAGACCGGCAGGGCCGGACAGCCCAGCTCTGCCGAGGGCTCAGCAGACGGGGCGTCCCAGCCCCTTACCTGCTGCCCGGCCTCGGGCTCCGGCCCTTCGTCCTGGCTGCGCGCCTCCACCGCCTGCGGG